ACCAATGTCAGGTAAGTCTTCTCCTCCTTATTCCTTCCTCGCCAATCCCTTATGCTTGATTCATCACTCCACCCTCCTCCGCGCACCTGGCCAGGTAAGCGTTTTCAGCAGTTCACCACTCGCTGGCTTGGCCGACAGGCTGCGAAGTGTGATGGTCAACAAATAAATCTCCACCCTCGTGCTCGCCCCTTCGTTACTCCGAACGACGGCCTGAGTAATGCTTCGGCAAGCAGGTAAGTCTTCAAACCCCAGGACTCCTGTCACGCACCTGCCCTGGTAAGCGAAACTTCGAATGAATCTACCCCTAAAACCCGACAATATACATTGCCATTTATTATTATTATTATTTTGCCCGCTTGTCTCTACGCAGCCCACTTCCATGCAACCTCTTTTCTACTGACTTTTCCATCAATGTAACTTCGTATTCACAGTCGCCACTCTGCAAAACTTCTGAAACGCCCCCTCTCTCACTCGTTTTCATCAAGAAACGAGCGAGCTCTTCGATCTTCCTCGTTGCTCTGCCATAGCCACTACGCAGCCTATTTCCATTCTAACCCCCCGCCACTCTACTAATCTAACACTAAAACTAACCTCATAATCCACTTTGCCTAGCCTCGAAACATCGTACTAACGCCTTCCGCCGCCCGTTTTCGTTGGGAACGGGCGAGCTATCCCCTTTTCACCTTGTCTGCCTCTCACCATTGCCCGTCCTCGTCGCCAATGCACCTGGTGCCAACCCCGTCCCGATTCAATCGCTTTTCTGGCTTCAGCACTTCCTTTCGTGCATCACCCCACACACACTCGGCGCAGTGCTCCACTCAGCCTCCTTTCACCTCGGTCGCCTATCTCTGTCCCGGACAGGTCCACGTCCAGGTACATTCCGCCGCTATTAGCCCGTCGTTCACTCCGTCTCGCTGCTCCGCAGCGCTCCCACGGATAGCCTCACCGCCTGTTGTTGCGCCCGTCGCTACAGCATTCCACTTCAGCGCGCAGGCCATCGCCCCCCTGTCGTAGCTCTGCCCCCGGCATTCGTTAGTGCAGCCCGGCCCTCGGTCATACCGCATATCCCCCTTGCACAATGCGCCGAGGTAGCGCTTTCGCATGGCTTTCGCGGAAGTCAATGGAGGCTGGCGCTGTTCCTTGATTTATACTTCAAGAAAACCCGTTGGTCTACCCTTTTCCACCGGCCCTCGGGGCTCTTCAGACACTGACACGGTACCGCGTCCCAAAATAGGACGGGACAACCAGTAACCGTGGGAAAGATAAATAATAAATTAATAAAATAAAGCTAAAATAAATAAGTAAATAAACAAAGAAATAAAATAAAAAGAACACCTGAAAGGAACGGGGGAGCAACTGGCACCTCGCCAGTGCCGCAGGTTGGACCCGTCATTACGTCCACTGGCAAAAGGCGAGGGGGATGGTCCCACAGGCCCATCAACCCCTCAAGCCTTTTGTTCACTCCTTCGACGCCTGCCGTTGGCCTCGATCCCTGCACCTGCTGCGTACCAGTCCAATGCTCTAACCTATAGAGCTAAGCCCAAGCCTGGTACCAGCAGGCCTAATCCACCTAATGAAGAGGTAGCTTCCAGCCTTTTGGGGCCAAAGGAGCCACCTCGTACCATCTCGTAGCCTGTACTCACACCCATGGCCACAAAGGGCCGCAGCAACCACCCAGTCGTGTTGTAGATACCCTTTTCTGACCGAATCCATCAGGTCCCAATACCTGGATTCTGCGTAAGTCCACACTGGCTTACCAAACCCTCCAACATACCACGCGGAACCAGAGGAAAGGACGTCCCTAAGTTAGTTAACTTAATCAAAACAACCAACTGTTGTCAAATGGCACGTCGGGCGGAATTCATGCCACGCTTTCTATCGCAACCAGAAAGGGGAAGGATCACGCACGCCTCAAACATGCGCGCCCACATAGTTTATTCTACCCGACCTTCAGCTAGCATAAATCACTGACACTGCCGCGCCCCGCGCGGAATACTTTATACTAGACTTATTTTATGTCACTTGCAAAACCCAGGGCGGATACCCTTGTAAGGGTATTCGCGCCGACAGCTTACCGGACCATATTAAGCAACGTCCCTGTCGCTTCGCAAGATAAAAAAACTATCAGTCCAACAACAATTCATAATGCTGACGAGCAGGGTACCAATCCGATTAAACGACAGACCCAGGGTTGAGGCCTCCAATAATCAATGCCAAACACAACTTTACGCTGCCAGGATTCTAACCTGGGTCTCCGTCGCCCTGACAGTTGGACATCGAGGTACTCCTCATTGTACTACAACATAAGTTTCATTGGATCTCTGACTGTCCTCTTCCTTGTGCCCTAGACAACCGCCGACTCCTCGTTGTGTGCCTCAAACCCTTCCCCTGAAACCAAGACCTTTGAAGGCATTCTCTTGCCTCCCTAAAAAAAAACTTAACATTAAGCACATATAAATATACTGTATAAATCTCTACATAAACCTCCCCGTAGTCTAGTATAGGAAGACTAAGTCTCCATCTTGGCCCACCATAGTCTGGGTGATCATTCCAGATCTACGGCCCACCGCATTGTTATTCCATCGGTAGTGCCTTCGCGGGTTGCACCATGATAGGTTGTTCCTGATAAACATTCAATCAGGATTTCCTCAAAAAGACTCATATGACTCAACTCTTATCCCACGCCACTCCGCAGGAGTAAAACCCTCCTAGGCGTTCACGCCCCTTTAAGTCTTTACTCCCTTGGCGAGACGCAGACCCTCTGCTTAGGTTGTGCCAAACAGCGGCCAACACTAAGGGTTGCGCCTTAGTGATGCTAGTTATACCCCTAGCTGGGTCTCTTATAAATGTCAAAGATTAGCACAAGCGGCTAGACGTTGTGTCGCAATAATACAAGCCTACTGCGGGACTACACATAGACCTGTCGTTCATAAAGGTATTTACCAGTCCCTCTGTGGGACAACACAGAGGAAGCACGACAACCTCTCCACAATCACAAAACAGAATCACCGCCTGGTTCACAAGGCCGTGGCCTCCCAGCTTGACCAGAGAAGGAAAGTCGCACATCTTGCTGACATCTCTTAAAATGCACCATTTGCGACATCCAAAAATTCCCTCCATAGCCAAACAAAACTTGGTCCTCTCCCGTCAGTCTTTTATTACTCAAAACCAATCTTTCAATCAACGATCTTATTAACCACCTCGTATATAGAGTAAGTCTCACTTCAATAGGTCACCCAACCATCCCTCTCTTTCTAGGATGAACTTTCTCACAACCTTTTCTTCAACACATCTTCCCTCTCTGAAGATGAGTCATTCAATTCAACAATGGACTACCTTCCCATTCAGAGGTGTCCCAACCATAATACAATTCATATGAGGGGACCAACTCCTAGGTCTTTTGCACAATTCAAACAACACACCATTTATTATGAATATTCAATATTTTCACATCTCCTTTTCACAAATACGAACTGCACTGCCTCCCCTTATACCCTGCTTTATCTTTTGCCCGAAGGCAGATCACACAAGTATACCGAGGAGTAGACAGTTTGCTTACGATCACATTCACAATAGACATCGCAAATAAGATGTTTCTCACACATTGTCCACACAAAACCATCATGCATCAGAGTACAACCACACATGTGAGAGAGACAAGTGATCGTCACATATAAAGAATGGTCCCTGAAAAAAAAACTCATCATAATATACACTCAGGAAATAAAATGTCTCTCACAGAAAGTGTCTCAAAGTCATAGCTCACCAAGCTCAAGCCACATCAAACTCATGCTGACAACTATCCCTAAAACACATGTCAGATCTGCCTCTCAAAGGCCCGGGCGTAGGCTACCTAAATATGTACATGCCTCATCTAGATCACTTTGATCCTCAAGATCCCAACTCACAAGAGTTCAAATCTAGATTATTAACAATCGTGAAAAGGTCCTCTAGGTCTAAGAGGGTATCACACAGAGCCTAAGCTGATGCCTCACAAGATATTCAACCAATTACATAGGCAAACCGACCCTATCTCCTCAACTCCTCCTGATTTTGCCTATATAACTGAGCCCTAAGTCCATCTGCGGACTTCTGTACTATCCTACCCTATCTATCATACATCTTACCCCCTGCTTCTAAGACCTTCCCTTCTGCCTTATCCTCAAGGAACTCGAGACAGTCCAGAGCCAGATGCACACCCCTTTTGCAGTAGAAGCATAGCTGATCAACCTTCCTCTTGAGCTTCTTCTTCCTGGGTTGAGGAGGTGGCAATAAAGGAGATCCTACCAAGGTACTGACAACCCCCTGCTGCTCTGATCGAGGAGCTGCGGTACTAACAACCTCCTGCTGCTCTATCCCTGAAACCGGTCCCCCAGACCCAGATCTAGTAACCCAAGATCCCAGTCTGCTCCTCAAATCCCCTGTCGCTGGGACGTACTCAGGCGTGTCCAACCTGTGAGGTCTCCTCTCGAGTGTCTCTCCTGGCACTGCCATGGGCTGCTCCTCAATCTCCTCTGGCCCATACTCAAGCGTGCCCAACCTCTGGAGCCCGCCCTCGATGACACCCTCCGCCTCAATCCCCATCTATCTCTCAAGAGACTCCTCTATCCTCTGCTCGGGTGAAAACAAACTTCCCTCCTCCTGCATAGTATGCACCGCCTCAAGGAGCACGCCCGTGGATCCCTCTGCTGAGCCCTGAGCCGGCTCACTACTAGATGGTGGTAGCCCCTCCTCCACTACCAAAGGTACGACTGGGCTTGCCGCTGTTACAAGCAGCGTCGCGAGCTCGGTAGGGGCTCTGAACTCGAAAGCCTCTCTCTCCGCCTGTCTCTGGGCTCTCGCCTCCTTTGGCTCGATGATAACTCTCCCCATCGGTGGCTCCCGGCGAGGCCCTGCCGCAGATGGCTGCCCTGGCAATCCCTGTCCTGGCCGCCTCTGCTCTCCCTGCCGGCCGCTCTCTGGCTTGTCCACCTTTCCCTGAGTTTGCTGCCTCAAACTCTCGATGATGGCTGCCTGACTGGCCACCAATACCCTGAGTTACTGGATTTCCACCTCCATAGCCTCCAGGCGTACTCCATGGCCTTCTTCCTTCGTCTTCTTCCCTGCCAGATCGCTCTCCAATAGCAAGTGCCGGTCAAAAGTCGTCTTGGTCAGGAACTTGATTTTGCGATCCAACCTTTCTTCCACCTTCCTTGCCACCCCAAACCCCGCTCTGGTTGGCGAAGGAAGCTCCTCTCCTCTCTGCTCCCAGAAGTCCCTCCACATCTCCGGGATCTCCGGGGCCTTAGCTGACTCGCTGGGTGGCTGACCCGGGAGTGCTCCTGCCGCCTCCAATCTTTGTCTCTCCTGCTGTTGTTCCGGAAGTGCCCCAACCGCCTCCAATCTCTGCCTCCCCTGCCATATCTCTTCTATCCTCTTGGTTCTTCTCGCCCTCTTTCCTTCAGCTGTTTCTCCAGCTGGCGACCTTTCCCTTGTGCGGAGGTCAACCTTCTTTGGGATCTCTGCCTCCACCTCCTGCTCTGGTTGGCATGGCTCCCGGCGCGGCTCTGCAGGTGCTGGCTCCTCCAGGTCTGGGTGCTCCAGGGCATGAGCTGCTAGATGCTTATCAATCAGGGTCAAGGCTTCTCTCCTTACAACCGCCCTCTCTCTCCTCCTTTCTGCTCTCCCCTCTGGCGAAGGAGCCTTTTCTGATGAAGGTAATGGGACTTCCTCCCTCTGCCATCCCCCTCCTGCCTGGCGAGTGCTCCATGGTGCATCCCCGAGTCTCAAATCCACCGCTGGCGTCTGAGGGGGCATGTCCTCTCCAACCTCTATCCCTTCCTTCCCTGCACGTCTCCCCTCATCGCCCTGTCCTCTCTCTCGCTGAGTATCCTAGACCTCCTCCTGCGGCATCCCCTCTCGTGGTACCTCCTCCTGTGGCACCTCCTCTCGTGGCACCGCCTCTGCCTGCTCTCCATGCTCCTCACCCCAAGGCGACGCCCTACACCGAGAGATGTCCAAATGCGTCTCCAACTCTCTCAAGGACCCCTCAAACGCTGGTGGCTCCTCCTGTGTGCGTGTTGATGACCTCCTCAATCCACCCTCGGTAAACCGATGGAACTCCACTGGTCCCAACCCACACTCAGGGTATGCCCCTCGCTCCTCAGCCTCTGGCTCTGGCTCCGGTTCCTCTTCTTTCCTAGCTAGGGCCTTCCGTCCTCCTCGAGACGGTCTCGTCCCCCTGGGCTCAGGGTCCCTCTGCCTCTGACTCCTTTGATGCCTCCCAATTCAGGGCTGAGGGGGCTCTGGCCGTCGAAAGGCCTCTCTCAGATGTGCCCTGCAGCTCTCCCAGTCCCGGGCCATGTCTCTGACGTGCCTAGCCAGTGGTCTTTCCGCCTTCCTGGTCCAGAGTGGTAATGTCTGCATCCAATCGTCTCTCGGTATACCCTGCCGCTGCATGAACCACTCAAAAGCGGGGATGAAGTCCGACGCATTCCCAATCTCCAGGCGGATCGGCCTGCCATCAGGTCCCACAGGCGAGGGTCGCAGCTCCTGCATCCCCAACTCCACCTCTGACCTCGTCGTCGCCTCCCTACTGATCCGTGGGACGAGCTCCTCGAATCTGCCGACTCTCCTCAACCTCTCAATCCCCTAGGTCATGGTCCGGCCCATATGCTGTGCATGCTCCCAAAAGTTGTCCAGGAATAGCTCGATGTCGCCACCGTCGTACTCTGGAGTGCTCTCTCGATGACGAGGCCCATGCCGCTCATATCCTCCTGATGCGCCCAACAACCTCTGATGCGGCCGTGTCCCCTTCCCTCCTCTTGGCATGACAGTCTTCGTAAAGTCAGACCTGCACAACAGGCGAAGGAGACAACAGACACACATTGGGGTAAGCAAACAGGTGATAGTCAAAGCAAGCTCAGACCAGACCACACTCATGCAACATACATCCTACCTGACCTACACACCCTATTACTTCTATTCTAAAGGCAGTCAGGTCATCTCTCTTACCTCTTCTCTCGCCACAAATTTCTTCAGTCGCGTTCCAGATACCCAATCCTTCCACTCAGTCTCATTTAGCTCCTCAATCTGGTACGCTCCGAAGTCTCCGACCCGTACGATCCGGTAAGGACTTAACCACCTCTTATCGAGTTTCCTGGACCATTGCTTCTCCAAAGATGAATCGTGGAGGAGCACGACATCCCCAACTGCCAAAGGTACTTTTCTCACTCGCGCAGACTGATCCCATCGAGCCTTATCATCCATACGGCTTCTCGCCACCTGATCAGATGCCTCCTGGATTCTTTCTTCTATCGCCCCTATCTGCCGCGCCCGAATGTCGAGCAATTCTTCAAATGACAAGTTAACTTCCAGATCCTGGCGCCTCCATGTCTTAAGAAAGTTTTCGATAGGGAAGGTGGCGTGCCTTCCATACCACAGCGTCGCAGGTGCGTACTTGGTGGATCTTTTTACTATAATGTTTTTGACAAAAAATGCCGCCCTTAGGTACCTTGGCCATTGATTAGGCCTACCTTCAGTCCACTTAGCCAGGAGGTTCGTAATGATACTATGTCCTCTCTCCACGGGAGCATTCGCTTGGGGGTGCGCGACCGTGGTGTAGTTGGCTGCTACACCATACCTTGATAACAATTCTCGCACCTCTTGGCAGGTAAACTCCGATCCTCTGTCCATTACGAATTCCCTGACGAAATGATAGCGCAGATAGTACTCCTCGATGCAGCTCACCAAGACTTGTCTGATCTTTGTGCGAATAGCACGTCCGTCTACGAAGCCAGACAGATTATCGTGCGCATCGAAGATGTAGTTATAGCCCTGATCCCCAAGCGGCATGAAAAGTAGATCGAGATGCACTACAGCCCCCACCTCTCGCTCTAGCCTTGGATGCAGCGGCTCTCCTTGCCTTAAACGAGACCTTTCCTGGCAGGGTATGCAAGATCGGCAAAATTTCCCGACTATGTCCATCATCCCATCTCAGTAGTACAACTCACTTATTTTGGCATACGTGGCTTGTACCCCTCGATGCCCTCCTGCAATGCCGTCATGAAGCGCTGCTATGACGTCAATCTGACGGTTCCTACCGCAGACGACTCTCCTGGGATTCCCCACTTCTCTCCTTACGAAAAGCTGGCCGTCTCGCACTAAGTAGCGCTGCAGGATCCTCTGAGCCCTATCGCTTGCATCCCTTAGCTGCATTTCGCAAAACAAAAGGAGTCCCAACTCTAGGTAAATCCCATCATACTCCTCTGCACGAAAGACCTCCTTAATCTCCCCTTCCTCGAACTCGTCGTCCTGGCTCTCGGACACTTCATCCACATTCCCTGCCGGGTCCAACGAGCCTGACTGGTTGAGGCTTTCCTGCAATAACGTGTTGATGAGAAGATACATTCCTCCCATCAGGTTCTCACACCGTTCTACCTCGTTCTACCTGGCCTGATCCTTCCTCGATCGTCCTCATGTCCTCTACCAGACTATGCGAACTAGCCAGCGCCAACTCCGTCATCCACTGAACATCCTTACCGCCCCAGGGATCCTCTTCTTCAAAGGGTTTAAGGACCAGCTCAACCCTCTTTTCATACTCATTTGGCGCTTGCAAGATAGGATAGCCTACACAGCTGGGTACTCGCGGCAACCATTTGTTGATATGGAGACGAACATCTTCCTCCTGATCCAGAAATCCATCAACTGGGGGCGTGTTCTCCACCTCCTCCCCTTCTTGTTTATCCCAGTTGATCCGACTCAGCCCGTCCGCCCGGTTCTTACTGCCAGGAATCCGCTCCAACTCGAAGTTAAACATCCAGATGTACGTCAGCCATCTGGCAACTGTCGGATCCGATGGAACGTAATTCCTTAGAGAGTAGGCCAGGGCGGTCGGATCCACTCTCAGAATAAACCTCGTGTCGAAGATGTAGTTCCGGAAGATCCGCAGACAGTGGAGGACGGCAAGGGTCTCCTTCTTGAACTGAGAGTAGTTCCTCTCGGTCGTACAGAGAGTCCGACTCTCAAATCGCAAGGGTCTTTCCTTCCCTTCCATGTCTGCCTGAATTAAAACTCCCCCTAAAGCAGTCTGTCCCGCATCTGTTTCGACAATGAAGGGTCGCGTCTCCGTGGCATCATAATCTGGCGCTCCTAACACCAACCCTCCTTCTCGAAATTCCTCCTTCATTCTGACCATCACCTCTTCTTGCTCTTCACCCCAAACCCATTCCTGATCCTGACGGACTAACTTCCTCAGGTGTTCAGTCTTAGCGGCAAAGTTCTTGACGAAGGCCCTCCAGAATCCACACGTACCAAGGAAGCTCCTGACATCAGTTATTGAGTGAAACGGAACTGGCCACTCAGTAATCTTGTTCGTCTTTTTCACATCTGGCCTTCGGCCCTTCTCGCTGCAGACGAACCCCAAGATAGTCGCTTCCCTCATGCAGTGTCTGGATTTGGCCCCGCTTGCCGTGAGGTTATGCTCCTCGAGCAGGCTTAGGACCTTTTTGAGGTCCTGGATGTGCTTCCAAACAAAGCGCCTTACCCCTGGCGAGACTTCGTCGCTCTCCTTCACTATCAGTCCCTTCACCGCCAAATCGTCGATGTATGGTTGTGTGATATGCGGACTGACTGATTGCATAGCCCGAATCATGGCCCGTTGGACCATTGCTACTGAACTTTTTGATTATTTTTGACAAATAGTAGACTGTCAGTTGGAATCATAGATTTATATATGTCTTTTCCTTTAACTTGAATCTCTATATTATCTAAATCCACCCTTGCGGGGGCACGTTCATGTGGATTAGCCCTCGCGGCCGTCACAGGCCTGTCCGGCAAGTAGACTGGGAACTGATCATATCCTAAGTAAAGGTCTATAAGCGAGATTTATAAGCGAGATTATACGCCTTCCGGCACAAGATTCCGACAGCGCGTCTGCATTGGGCAATCCTCCAACATCCCGCACGGTCACCGCATCCAGCCTCTGCAAATCTTGCACCCACCGCAGCGTCCCGTTAGGCTTGATGAAGCAGAACCACGGGGACGCATACGGTCCACTCGAATAGTCGGCGACGTGCGTATGTATCTTGCCGTCGAGGTAATCCACCACTTTCTTTTCCTCGTCAGGATTAGGATATCGCACCCCTCTCATGTTCCAAGGCTCGTGTGACACGGTGTGGATGCGGATCATAGGTATCATGGCGCAACCTGCGAGGGCACTACCGCTAGAATAACAACGTGGTGGGCCGTAGATGTGGCATGATCACCTAGACTATGGTGGGCCAAAATTGAGACATGACCTTCCTGTACTAGACTGCAGGAAGAGTCTAGGTTAAGATTTATGTATATATATATATGTTTGATTGTGAGGATTGTTGGGAGGATTGTTGGGAGGGGGGCGAGAATGCCTTCACAGGTCTCGGTTAGGGTCCGCGTCTCTAGTTATGGCCCTGCTTGCASGAGAGAGACATTGGGACACTTAACGAGAAGTCGGCGTTTGTCTAGGACAACGGGGAGMGGACGGTTGAGAGGGCCGCTGAAACTTATGCTGTAGTGTGTATGCCTAGTACAACGACGTCCGACTGTCAGGACAATGAAGACCCAGATTGGAATCCTGACAACATATAGTTGTGTTTGGCATGATTTGATCGAGGCCTCAAACCTTAGTCTGTTGGCTGATCGGATTGGTTCCTTTCTCGTCAGCATTTGAAATTCTTGATGGATTTATAGCTTTCTGATTTTGTGACGCAACGGGGACGTCGCTTAATATGGTCAGGTAAGTTGTCGGTGCGAATACCCTTACAAGGGTATCCACCCTGGTTTTTACAAACGATAGAAAGTAAGTTTGATAATTTGATTTAAAGTTTGAGTATATTGTGCGAGACGCAGCAGTGGYTGTGGTTTACGTTGAGTGAATGGCTGACTAGAGTAGAGAGTGTGTGGGCGGACAGGCTTAAGGCGCGCATGATCTCTTTGACTTTTGATGATTGTGAAAACCCGCGTTGGTCGGTATCTTGTCCACATCCAGCCCGCCACGCTCCTCGTCACTAAACGCATAGGCGCGATGCCTCCTCTTCACCAACTCCACCATCAATGTCCGCTCCCGAGGCAGCAGGAAGTCGGGCTCCCCTATGATCAATTTCCCCTCATTCCCTTCGTTGATACGACATGGCCCTGCTAGAGCACTCTCCTTCATTCGCCGTATCAACCCTCGTTCCCTCTCGTAGTATGCTTCCTCGTCCTCTGTAACGAGGACGGGAACCGGACGACACTTCTTGTCTACCGTCTTGTACCGCCTTTGGGAACCCTGCTTGAGCCGTCCCCTAAAAAGAGCCGACTCACAGATTGCGCTTGCGCTGATGCGGGGTTCCTCCTGCCGTCCAGAAGACGGTATACTAGTTCCAACCTCCCCGCCTCGGGGCATTCCAGGACCTGCTCCCTCAAGGCTTGGATGGCATCCGGATCTGCCATCTCATGTGCGGCCACCAAGTCCATGGCCTTTCCGACGTCCGATAGGCTAAGGAAAAACGCTTTCACCTCCTCGTCTCCTTCCGGCTCCGCCCGAAGCCTTCGCCGCTCGCCCTCCGATTCTTCGATCGTGAAGGACCCTGGGTTGGGCCGGTTCCTTATACTCCTCGGTCCTGTATTTCTGCAGGTAATTATCTCGTAATTCCCGCAGGAAGGGTCACATGGGAGGGGGATCAGAGTCCCGTCATGCTTGTTGAACATCACGGTCTCTGTCCTACTCAAGAATGACCTTCCTAGGAGGATTCCATGGTCCACGTCCGGCATGATGAAGAAGCAAGCTCGGGCCTTCACCTTTCCAACCTCGATGAGTACGTTCGAGGCTGTCCCACAAAACACGGCCCTGCAGCTGGCTCCATGTAGAATTCCGCAATCAGATCGGTCTATATCCAGCCCGAATTTGATAGCGTCCGCCTCTCGAATAATTTTCATCTCCGCCCCGGTGTCTACCATTGCCGCGCACTTGGAGCCCTTCACCACCAAATCCACCGTGCCGCAGGCCACGCACTTCCAATCCATCTTCGTGCCCGATTCCGCCCACTCTGCCTCCTTGGGCAGGATCGTGCCCAGATGGACGTTGGACACTAAGCGCCGTGACAACCTCCCTTTTAATTTATTGTGGAGTCGCGGGGCTGACGCCAGGATCTCCTTCAGGGTCATGAGATCATTATGCCCTTCTCGCAGCCTGTCGATCACCCGCTCTAAATGAAACCCCTCTTCCAACCGAACCGCGTACTTTTTCCTTTTGGGCGGTCCGTCACGCATGACCGGCTCGGCCTCTTCCCTGGTCCCTTTTCTCCTTGCTCGCTGCTCCGCTCTCTGATCCTCTTCCCGGTGCAGCCTCTCGTCTTCTTTTTCTTCATCATCGTCATCCTCCATTTCCACGGCCTCCTTTCTTTTTCCTGGCTCTGGCTCCCTCCTCGGAGATTCTTGGCTGGCGCTGGTTTTGGCTTGACTTCTCGTTCGTGTTGCCTGCGCGCCGGGCCTGCGGAGTGAGGGGTCTCCCCATCATTCCCGATTGTGGGCACGACCCCACCACATTTACTCCGGGTCGCCCAGGCGCTGACTCCGGACCGGAGTCGTAGAGGAACACCTTGGGGAAGCTAGACTTCCATTTCCTCACTTCCTCACAGAGGCCCACCAACTTCTGTTGGTACCTCCCCATCTTATCCAGCAGGTCCTCCATTTTCCCCAACAAGACGCACGAAGGTTCCATCCTTTCTTCCTCATTCTCGTCATCTGACTCGATGATTATGAGTTTTTCCCTCCTACTTCCTCCTCGTAGCCCTTGAGTAACTTCCTCATCGCTCCCCACTTCCTTTACCCCAATCGGTGGTTCTTCCTTTTCCTGCCATAACATGAACTCCTCTATCCCCACCGACGGTCCTTTCTTCTCCTGCCATAGCCTGAACATGGCAGGGGGTGACGGCCCAGCTGTCGCCCTTCGTTTGGCTTCCGCTCTCACTCCACCAAGCCTTCTATCAATGGCCTCCCCAAACTGATCGTAAATGTTCACATCCATAGTGGAGGAAATCAGCCCGCTCCTCTCGTCTTCCCGTCTTATATTACAAAACCTTATAGTGTGGCTTTGCTGGTCACAATGTTGGCAGATAGCCGTCCTCCAGTCAAAACGGGGTCTCCCATACCCCTGACTTCCCTGATCCCCCTGGCCTTGATACCCCTGGCCTTGGTACCCCTGACCTTGATTCCCTTGGCCTTGGTACCCCTGGCCTTGGTACCCCTGACCTTGATACCCTGGCCTTGGTTTCCCCGGCCTTGACCATTTCATTGCCCTCCTCTTCCGCCGCCATTCCTGCCTCGCCCCCTTCCTCCACCCCTCCCTCCGTTGCCTTGATTGCCCTGCCCCTGGTTCCTACCTCCATCCACGCTTCCCTGTGAACTGGGAGCGGGTGACGGTGGCGGGGCCACAAGCTGAGCCTGGTCTGCAGGGTAGATGGGTGGCGGCATACTCGTTTGCGGTCCGACTACTGGCGGCGGGCTACCCCATGGTACGATTTCATTGATCACCGGCCAGGGTCACTGTCCGTAGGAGGGTGCCCCTCCTTGCGAGGGGCCCGTACTAGATGATGGAGCCGCCACATTTAAAGGGGTTGCTGTCAAGGCCTGGGGCGCCTGTGCTTTTCCTGATCCCTGCCCGCCCAGCGCCAAGTTACGCACTTTGTGCTGGGCCTTCGTCAGGTGCTGCGTCACCGACTCTTCCTCTTCTCAGAGCTCCTCCTAAACAGCCTCCTCTATCACCGACTCCTTTCCTTTCACCTGGACAACCGTCACTACCCTTCTCTGCAGCACAAGCTCTGTCGCATACCCCAGCTGCGCCAGTACATCTGTAACAATCCTTTTTACTCCCGGGGTCCCAGAAGCGGTCGCATCTCTTTCCTTTCTCTTCTGCCTTTGCAGGCGTACCTGACGTTGCTCCACCTGGTCCAAACACCCAACTTCCACCCCTCTGTCAATGGTGGCCCAGGTGAACTTGGTGCTACCTCCTCCATATCTTGTCAGTTCGACGGCCTCTGATGCCGTGAGTAGCCCCAGAAAAATGGCGCACTGCGCCTCCTCTGAAATCCCATGGACCTTCTGTGCCCGCTTCTTGAATTCGTGAACAAAGGCCCCTATCGTCGTAAAATCCTCTTTGTTCATCGCCTCAAGGTCCGTAGTGGTCAACAACCCGTCTCCCAGGCGGTATTTCCTTCGCATCCCCTCCTTGAACCTTTCCCAGCTACCTTGAGCCGCATCTATAACTTTCTTCACTTCTTGGTGGTAGCTGTGGAGGACATACTGGAGAATGCGCTGAAACTTTACAACATCCGATCGCCCGACCAAAGATTGTTCCACCCGATCCAGCCATTCTGAGACTCTCTCCCCACAAAAATGAAAGGTATCGACCTCGGGGATATTGCTCGGGTTTCTTTCATGCCATTCAATGGTCGCGATGAGGTCATCGAGCGTCAGACCCTTCTTGGGACCACCCGATGCGCCGCCGCCCTGCGACATCTTGAAAACCCTTTCTCTTAAAGCTCCCTGACAAGAGAAAAACAAGCACACCTCTTTTATTCATCATTGCACCTTGACCGGTCTATTCCATCCGTCCTACCTAACTCTTACTACGTACTTTTACCCAATGCTAACACGGTCGTCCCTCATACTTTTCCTAGCTCACATTGGTAAACTTCCTTTCCTATACTTAGTCATTCATTATTTTTCCTTACCTTCTCGTCGTTTCCTTTATGCCTTTTTCCATTCACTTCCCATTCCCGGATGTCGTTCCACCAGGGACAACGGTAGGCTTTCCGTTATCCCCGGCAACGGCGCCACCTGTCAAGCACATCGGTCCGGCACCGCACCAGGGCAGTGCGGGACCCTCTCGGCCGCGTCACGCAGGAGTTGATTTAAATCATTGGTCGCAGATAATACATGTGAAGCTTCCTTAGGCCGCTCCGGCCGAGTGCGCCAGCCATACCTCTCGCGAGCCCCTACGACAGGATAGGGCCTACGAGAGACACAACTTACCTACACTTTACGGGAGCTGTCACCTCCCTTCGGTGGGCGTATCCCCGCCGAGCTACCAGTCCACAGTACGAAAGTTAATCAGTTGCAATTGAAGAGGTGGACCAGCCGAGGGCGTTTCTCGTTCGTTGTAGCATAGGGGGTACGCGCGGTAATACGCCTCTATCGGACCCGCACGCGAACCGACAGCTGGGGGGGCTGAAGTCCCAAACGCGATTCGACGTCGGTCGACTAGGACGCATCCCACACACCACGCGCACACCACTTTAATCACCACAAGACAACAACACACCCACACATACACGAAACGACACAACGCAAACAACCCGACAACGCTCCTAGCCCCTCGGTAGCCGTCCCATAACTCTTTGATACGGAAATCGAATAGGCGTCGCGCACGAGACTTTGTATAAAACCACGCGGACGCAAGGCTGGCTTATATCGACTCACAATGCAATCGTACGCAAACAGTCACAATGATGGCGTACTATGTGGTACCCATACTTATGCAGTCCTCGTTAATCTCGAGGGTCACATTCGACACTCAAGTGTCGGCTGACACTCGCCTTGAGGGTTAATCTGTCGACGCTGGACAACCACCTTGCGCGGTTGAGGACCACACACCCTCTTTTGCACCCTTATGCAGAGTGGGTGGTACACATGTTTGTACTTGTGGTGGTAGTCGTCTCTCGCGGCCCTAGGGGTAAATCCTCCCTGGGCCTGGGCGAAAGTCAAGGGGTTTGACTTTGACGGTTGCCACGGAGTACAACGTCCAACCATTAAAAAATCTCTAAAAAGCAAAG